GTATGAAAAGGCATTCCATTCCTTAAAAACTAAAATAGTGGTATCTTTGATGTGATATAAAAATTTTGGGAGGTATATATATGTAAAAGAAAACGTTTAAATGTTAGATATATAAATAACTGGGAATTGGGTGGTATGTATGTTATAATGTAAATACTCCATAAATAATTTATAGGACATATCACACAATTATAATGTATTAGCATAGTTAGCGCCTGAATTTTATAGAGCTCAATTTTAAAAAGTCACATAAAAGTTGGTTGGTATATATGTAAATCGCCCCATATTTGCATATCATTAAAGAGAGTATCGGATTAATTGCACAAACTTTCTTGGATGTCATTAATTACCGACTTTTTGTTGGAAATGCAATTTTTTTATTGGAAATATATATATATATATATATATATATATATAGAGAGAGAGAGAGAGAGAGAGTATATATATTATTAGCATACAAACAGACTCGTGGAACTTCCACGCAAAGCCGAAAAAGGTTTGAACATACAATTCCAAAGAAAGCCAACATCCATTATTATCCACACGAAAATATTACATCAGTACTATGCACGTAAAGTAACGTGCGTAGCCAATGAAATCACGCCACGATACCCCGCTCGACACAGAAAAAAAAAGGCGCAGTAGCACGGGGAATATTCCCCCCCCCGTGTTATTCATTTTTTATTGTGTCCTGGAAATATTTCTGGTGTTATAATAACACAATACAATAACACATGAATAACACGCAATAACACATGAATAACGCGCAATAACACATGAATAACACAGGGGGGAATATTCCCCATGTTACTGCGCCGTTTTTTTTTGCTCTATCGCGCAAGATGTCATGCCGTGATTTGATTGGTGTGATTTCATTGCTACGCGCGTTATTTTTATGTGCGTAGTACTGATGCAATATTTTTTCCAAAGAAAGGTTATTTTTATGTGCGTAGTACTGATGTAATATTTTTTCCAAAGAAAATCCAAAGAAAGCCGGCAAAAGTTATGAATTTGTTGTGGCAAAATGATGAATTACCATTTTAGTATATGTTGTTGGATGGTGTGTTGACGAAGTACTGCTTCACAAAGTTATTTCACTATTTTGCAAGGTGTGTCGAGATTATGCAACACACGTTACGAATCGGTAAGTGATTTTGTCATAAGAAGTAGGTAATGACTTATGATGAATGACAGCAGTCGGTAAGCAATGGTCGACGACTATAGCAATGAATGACGTTCAGTTCACTATGTCTTTGTGACACATAGCAATTAATATTTTTATCATCAACCGCCATCATCATGCACATAAATTAACTCGTTCGACATGCAATAAAAAATAAAATCAATTTATATTTAGAACATTAAATATTTCTTTTATTTAACTATATCAAAATATTAATAAATTAAAATTGAAACTAAAAAATAAACGAAAGGAAATTAAATTTAATTTCTTTCATCCACCCCACATTATGTGAGCTTAGATGATGGTTGAGTCTAAATTATTTGTGGGTCCCATCTCTCCCTCCCTCCCCTATAAGGCATTGCATGATTAAAAGGACATCTAACCTCTCAATTATGAATTTGTTTGATTCTATAATAGTATTATTATTATTATTATTATTATTATT